AAATGTACAATCGTAAAAGCATAATATACTTATATTGTATTGCGTAAATAAATGTCCAAAACACTGTATTGAATGTGTGTTGTGGTTTATTGTCTGCACCAAAACGCTAATGAAAGTTCGAAAACGTTAATGAACCCACGCAAGCATATTCATGATTGTCAAATTCAATGCTAAATTTCTTAATGAACGTTCCATCGCACTATTGAGACTCCGTTCGCCTTATTGTATGCCTGTTCGCTCTAATGACAATGCTTCTTCACTTCAATGAATATTCCTTTGCGGTTAATGAACAGCAAAAGGTGTAATAGAGCTGTCCGTTTTAGCGGCATAACGATCAGTTCGGCAAATAATATGCCACCATTGTTTTATATCTTTTATTGTCTTTGTATGTAAGTTGCATGGAATAAAGAGAAAGTGTGAATATCGCCTTGAGAGGAACCAATGAATCAGGCACTCTGGCGTGACAGTATAATTAATATGTAACTAAGAATCATTCATTTAATGCATTAAATCGATCTGTTTTCATAGTTTTTTCATACACATCATAGTCACCGGCGTTTCTGAGAGACTTGGAGAAATATTCTCTTTTTAAACTGGAACAGGGTTTTGTTGAGCGCGATAATTATCATTGTCAGAAAGGTTTTCGYGTTAATTTTGCTCGTGAGATCGCGTGTCTTTTTCTATAGCAGCATTGCATTGCATCCAATATTTRTGAGATCGTGTTTTTCTTTTGTATGTTCCGCGTATTAGCAGCATTGCACGCACTTTGAATCTATAAATTTTTCTACACTGCATGCAATAACTTGCGAGATCGTGTTTTTGCACTCATTTTGCACTCATAATACCGCTACAGCTATATAAAGCCCTTGTTTTTGAGCTTCACACTTCAGTATTGTCACAATGCAGCCGGAGAAATACCGCTACAACACTGATAATGTTTTCCTGAGAGCGGCCATGACAGGAGAAGTACACGTACCAAGTCCTGTTCCACGAGTTACCCCCAACTGCCACTTCTAATTCTTTGGCCAGCTCACCAGCCACTGTGAAACAACGGCAAAAATTCAAAAGAGTAAGGTTTTCGGATGCTGAAGATTTGCTAATAGAAAGAGCATTTCAAACGCACCAAAAGGATTACCGGGCCATAGTTATCTTCATAAAGAGACATTTAGAAATGCTCCCTGAAGACGCAAGAAAATACTACGAAGCAAGTAGCGAGTCCAAGCAGAAGGAAAACTTGCAGAAGGAAGAGTCAGAAAAAGAATTAATTCGAAACTTTTGAAGATTGTAAGGTGAGTTTATTTCTTCTCAAATTTTTGAAATAATTTTTATCCTYATCCTAACCTCTAAATTCATTATGTACCAAGTTAAATATGTTGTTACGCTAACTGAAAAATCATGTTTTGGTTTGTTGTTCATTTTTAAGTTCTGTCGATAGTGCTCAACCAACTAGCATCTTGGAAGAGTTTACGAGTGAAAAGAGTTCAGATGAGGCAGAGGAGAGTGTCAAAAGTAACCAAACAGCGGAAGAACGCGACAGGCAAACCAGGTATCTTCCCTTGGCAAACTGCAACAGCCCAACTGAAGTGATGTCATCACTGCGAAACAAACATCTTGCTGAACGTGACGATGGGTTGTATCATGATGACGCTAGTAAAAAAGGTTTCTGGAGAGCCTTCTCGAAAAAAGTAAAATGTGATTTTAGGCAAATCCCTTGAAAAAAAGTTGCCAATAACTTTGTCCTAAAACTTTGTGTGAGCATCAACTATGCCATAGGGTTTCTTAAAAAGAGGGGGTCACTATTCTTGTTTTTGATTCATTTAAAATAACATCGCAAAATGATCAAAAACTGACACTCTTTCGCGTTTTTTTTTTTTTTTTTTTTCTTTTTCAAGAAAAGGTAAAAAAGTTATTTGCTTGTGCACATGTTTTTTCTTCAGTTTATGGGGAAAAACTTTACGAGTTTCATGCTTTTTGTTTTAAAAATGCGCGGAGTAAAACAAGGGAATTATCTTAACAAACTTAAGAGTAGCTACTTCGTACTCACACTCCGATCGGCTACATACTTTGAATGATTAACGGAGTGTCAAAATCCACAGACATAACTTGCGCATGCACAGCCTCTCATTAATTGGGTATTTGTCCAATTGGTACCGTAACTTTGACCATATCAAAAGTTGATAAGTTATTTTTAGAGATATGGTTAGTTTTTCGACTGGTTTGATTTCAAAAAATTACAGTTTATTTCATAACTCTGAAATGACCAATTATATATATTTTCGTCTCAAATCTTAGGAAGAAAACAAGAGTGCAAGAGGCGACAGACTCCCTTCCAGATGTGCTGAAAGCTGTAAAAGAAGCTGCAGAAGCCCATTCAGAGGTTCTGAAAAAGTGGCAGTCAACATTTGATGACAACGATGATTGAAAGCTTAAACAAGTTTTAAAGAAATAAAAGCCTGTGTTTTGYTGTGAATGATGAACATCAAATAAATCCTAAGAGAATTACATATTAAACTTAATACCCCTATACATTCATTTGCTTCTTTTTCGTTTTTTTGTTTTGTTTTTTGTTCAGCAAGTGGAACGAACTACTAGCCTTTGCTAGCCAGACGCTTTTGTTGCACGATGATTCTGCAAGCCTAAGCCTGTGAGAGTTGTCCTATTAATCTAAATTATCTTATCTAAATTATTACTTTGAGCTTCGCCTAGGTAATTACGAAACCAAGACCCAAACAAACAAACAAAATGARCCTCGTCGAGTACAAATATTCTTTTTTTATAACTCGGACAAGTCGTTCTAGCTGTATCTCGTAATTCTAAACACAAGAAGAAAGATGCGGATTATATGCAAATGTAATGATAGTGTGGATCACACCCACTAATTAGTTCCAAAGTATGTCAAACTAAGAATTAAGTGAAATCTCTTTAATCGAATGGCATGGCATATGTTGTGCCAATGCCGCTAAAACGGACAGCTCTAATACGTTATGTATTGCGCTAATGAATGTCCAAAAACCGTTATTGAATGTGTGGTTTTGTCTATTGATTGCACAAAGGCGCTAATGAAACTTCGAAAACGCTAATGAACCTGCATAAACATATTCATGATTGTCCAATGTTATGCTAAATTCCTTAATGAAAGTTCCATCGCGCTCTTGAAACTCCGTTYGCGTTATTGTGTGCCTCTTCGCGCTAATGATAATGCTTTTTCGCTTGAATGAATATTCCTTTGCGGTTAATGAACAGCAAAAGGTGTAGTGTGGACGGAGAACATTTCGTATCCGATTTTTTTCGGGTACGATGACGTCATGATTGTCATGGGAACATGGCGGGAAGGCTAAAAATTCACCGCGGGCTCAATTTCAGCTTCGATGCACATGCTCAGATGTGCAATGAAGCGTTTTCGCCGCCTCTGATCGGACTAGTCTGGACGCGAAACAATTTATCCGTTTTCATGTGTGGACGGAAAACTTTTTTTTCGGTTTCGATGTGAAAGTTGCGGATTCAAATTTATCCGGCATAGTGTGGACGGGGCCTTAAAGTATGAACTACAGGGCCTAACTTTAAAGTTATCATAGGCAACATGTACAAGGCTTGATTAAAATAACTGCATAACAAACCAAAATACATTCGAAAATCTAAAACTAAAATCCTAACTTGTCATCATTAAATATCAGTTCATCCACATCATCCATGTTTCTCCTGTTATTATGTAAGGTCCGTCGTGCGTTTTCTCGAGAGCTGTCATTAAGGTTTTTTCCATTTCATTGATTATTCAAATTTCGCCGGTTCTTGATTTACTTTAGTTATTCTCTATATTTAACTTATATACTTATTTGTCGTAGAAACCGTATTTCAAGGTATTAAAACTCCTGGTCACGACCCATACGCCTCGGCATTTGAAATTCCACGAGGATTTTGAAACCCTAATAAAATACTGTGACGAGTATTTGACACGACATCTTATACTCTTTTTGTTATGTTTGTTTTTATTTCAAAGTTCTAGTACTTTGAAATATTTCAAAGTCTGAGGAGTAGGACTTTGAAATGGGTGCGGTCGTATTTGATGGGGGTTTCAAACTACTGCACGTGGTACAAATAAGAAACCCTGGTTGGTCGATGAGCTCATGAATAATTAGTGAGTATAAGATTTTAAACTCATCACTAGTAGATGAGCTTGGCGTTAGGTGCATGCTTGTTCGGTTGGATGAATATATATGTAAAATACTATATGACACACAAAATATACTGACTACGATTTATATTGAAATTTAATTGAAGTTTAATTTAATTTAAATATATTTAAAGTCGTGTAATGTTGAGGCAAGAAACAGCTTGGAAGAAAAACTATATTGAGAATCAATACTTGAGTCTGATAGCGTCTGCTAGGCGAGGACCGAGTGTGCAAAACCATATCGTGCATATGGATGGTGATGATGCGCGAGTGATTTTGGAGCTCTCCTTGTGCAGAAACAAAGCAGACATTGAAAATATCGATTTAAGTGAAAAGTCCTTGGATCGCATTCAATGTAGTTTATTTAACTATGGAATTAAATTTCAAGAATTTCGCAAAATGCATTTATTTATGAACTATTTATAAGGTATTTATGAGTTATTCGAGATTTCGGTTTAAGAAAAATTGCGAGGAAATACAATTTGATTCGCTAAAAATCTATCGGAAATTCAACTCAAAAACACTGAAATTTCTTGTGATTGAGATTATGAATTTCATTTAATAATTCTGAAAATGTTCACAGTGATCGGGAGACTTGAATAAGGACTTCTTTATCTTCGTTAATTTTTTGTTGTCCCATTACGTTGGCATCTACACCAGTTCGGTATTCTAGGATTTCATGTATTTTTTTATGATTATTGGTGTGGCTAAACGAAAGTTTTTCAAGTTTTAAAACGCCCACAAATGGCATAGTGAAGCAGAAGCGTTTTGGACTTGGTCGTGTACTGACGCGGAACCGAGTGGCATGGAAATGGAAATTTATCAGTCGAACTTGCAAGGAGTGATTGCTCGTCTCCCGCTCCGGATACTCATTTTTAAGCTTTCGACGATTGATTTGTTTAAGTGCTTGATTTTAGCAGAGAACCCTGACTGGGAGAAAAACTCCCCTCAAATACACAACTGGGTCCGGGAATCGAACCCTGCTCGCAGTAAGGCATTAGCGGCGTATAGAGGACTATTTGATGCATAAATGTAGAGTTTTGGTTTTGGACGATTTTCGAATGTTTTTTGGTCTGTTTTTCATCGTGCCTCCTTTCAAGGTGTGGCGAATCCTTCCACATTGATTACTTCAGGCCAGTATGAAGTGTGAAACACTTTATTGAGCATTATATACGCAACTCATCACTTAGTCTCGCTTACCTCAGCTGATGTGGCTTCACTTTCTTGAGGTACACTTTTACAGGCAATTTGCAAAGAAAGCTTTMGGTTGAAATCTTCCCAATTGTCTTGTGACTGTTAGATTATTTCTTTATCTCAGTTCTCCTTTTATGTGCTCCGAATTCAGTTAACATTTGAATGACAATGATTAGTGGACACGCCTCAAAAAACAGAAGAAACAATTGGCAAACAAATACAGTAAGTGAAGCCATGGAGCGATAAGCTCAACAACTGGAAAATGTTCTAGAAAATAAATGGAGAAACAAAAGAAGAGAAGTTATGAAGCAAAGCGAAAGATCCAATGACTGAAAAATGCTTTAGAAATGAATGGATTATTCTTCTAAGGTATATTGGCAGCGTTTTAGTGTTCATTAAGTTATCTTTTTTAGCTGAGATTGGGCGACGATTTGGAGTCGGTGACACGATAGCCACAACAGTCCGAAAAACAGACAGGGAAGATTTTTCAGCGGATGTCTGTAAAACTCTGTGTAAAATTCCGTATATTTATTTCGGGATTTTGATTTTATTACACRCAACTCGTATCAGGTCAATAACCTTTACATACTTCACTGCCTGTTCATTTCACAGAAAAGCTTTAAAATCACTCGAGCATCGATCGCCGCCCATTCACATGCACGGACCAGTGTCTTCAACAACACGTACACATAAAACCAGGTTTTCGTAAATGACTCTCTTGAATTCTCTCGATAACTGGGAAACTTTCTAGAGTATCGAACTAAATCTATGCTCTCCATCCCAAGCAATGTCAAGTGTTTTGAGTTGGATTCCCGATACATTTTTACCAAGTCAAGCCGTTTTTCCACGCGATTTTCCAAAAACAAAATCTTGAAAACTCATTACGCATCTTGCCAAACTCCCTCGAAATTCAATTTCATTGATAAATAAACGATCTCATCACAACTACTTTGAAAGCGATCCCTTGGCTCTTCTTTCACGTTATTAACTGAAAAACTTTTAGCACCTTGTGTAGCTAAAAAAAATATCGAGCACTCCAAAAAATTCGTGCCCCCTACTTCCATCAAAGATCAAATGCGTCGTCTCTTTGTTTATATTTTGTATAGAACATTTAAGTGTTACAGTAGAGTGAAATTTCAAAGTATTTGTATCGATGAAATTGCGTTAACAAACAAAACCCATACTTTCATCGCAGGGTTAAGATTTTAGGTACTCGCAAGGTTGACCGAGAAACAAAGCATYTGCAAGAAACCGTAAACTTAATTAGTACGAGAACTCAGCGTGCTTGAATACTTAGAGGCTAATATCAAACAAATTAGAATGCTCAAGTGCTAGAGTGCTTTTACTTGCCCCATGAAACAAAGTTGTTTAGTCATCAACATTTTAGTAGGCATTCTCCAGTATTTAACGCTAGGTGAAGAAAAAAAATGCTAGAACTTGCTTAATCCAAAGTCTAACCACACAGGGCGAAAGAGGTACTACACTTTCAGGTGGAAATTATAAATTTATCTCCATGCTACCTTTTAAAAGTCAGCTAAGATTCCTTTACTTTATTTTACGTTTTGAAAATTTTATTGAGGTATTTATGAGGATCGCCGAACATTTTCTTAATACGTCATACCACAGAAACCTAACTTGGGCTACCTTTGGAGAGAGAACCAGAAACTCTGGCGGGGCATGTAAAAAGTTTACATTGGGAAAATTGAGGAAAATCAGCTGTGGTAAGCGAGTCGACTAAGAGAGTCGTGTCTTTTATGCACAATATAATAACGGACTTCTTCAGAATTTTTCTTTATTGCACTATGATATATCAAAGAATCCTGTCATGAGATTTAAGCACCGTTACATGAGTTAAATGACAATTTTTTTAAACATTCCTTGAGGTCTTCGCGTGAGCTTGTTTCTTCTCTGATTTACTTACAGAAGATGCAGTTATTTCTCATTTTCATCAGAGCTGCCTTCCTCGGCGCAGTGTGGACGAAGGAACGCACAAGAACTATATCCTCTATTTGCACACTTTTCCGTGCCAAGGCCGTTGCGTTGTGAAAGATTCCAAT